GTCCGGCTAACGCAAAGACTCAGCATTTTGCCAGTAGCTGCACCTCCCTTTCTCATCGTCCCCCACCTCTCATCGAGTAGCAGCAGAGGCTATGGCCAACACTCTCCCACACACCCCACCCCTCATCGAGTAGCAGCAGAGGCTATGGCCAACACTCTCCCACACACCACACGCAGCCCACTTGCGCTCGCACTCACACCCATGCTTATGGCCAACACTCTCCCACACACCACACACACCCAACCCCTCATAGAGTAGCAGCAGAGGCTATGGCCAACACTCTCCCACACACCACACACAGCCCACTTGCGCTCGCACTCACACCCGTGCTGGTCATAGACCCTGCTAATACCGATCATGGGTATCCAGAGGGCTATCAATAGTCCGTTGGCACTAAGTGCGCGGTAGGTGGTCATGGGGCCGTACTCACATTAGCACCATCGTAAATGCATCTGACCGCATTTACAGCCGATGTGGATGTATGTGGCCGCAATCACGTCAAAAAATAAGTAAAAAATAAGTAAAAACGTCCTACTGCTAGTATGCCCTCAGAGGAGTTCCAACTCCGGTTTGTAAGTCAACAGTTCAGGGGAATCAGGGGACCGTGTACCAGAGTGGGCTACCTTCGTCCCCGAATACAACGTACGGTCATTATAGCTGTATTTAGACTGAAAGATGCCCCAAATACATCTATAATGATCGTACGTTGTATTCGGGGGAAGAAGGTAGGCCAGTTGGTAATTGGAATCCTTTCAGGTGCTGTGGACACTCCTTTAGCCTAAGGCCACATTACTCTCTGCATGTGCAAATTGAGGAGATAGTGACTCTTCTGCTAGAACATGGAAATATACACCACCATGATTTTTGTCTTTTGTGCATGTCCAGATTAGTGGAGTGAGGCCCATTCTGTAGTATGTTCACCCTCTACCCTCTATGGCACAAGGAAACAGGTGATGCATCAGCAGAGGACTTTCTTTTCGTTTTTTCTAAAAGGGGCAACGGCCTTGCGATATCACCATCCAACGGCCTTGAGGTATCATAATCAAACTGACTTTCCTGATAAAACTCCAAAATTTCATTATTTTCTTTTCTTCGGGCGTACTCACACTAGCACCTTTTTAATTTCCTTCTGGACGTAATTGCAGTAATTGAAAAGAGTAGTGACAAATGGATACAAGCATTCCACTTCACCATCCGATACAAGAGTAGTGACAAATGGATACAAGCATTCCACTTCACCATCCGATACCAGTGACAAACATTGACACGGAGTACAAAAGTAAATCGGGCAAGTTGCCACGTATAGATGTCATCCATCAACAACAAAAGCTCAAGTGCCGGTGGGTATGGCTACCCCGACGGGTTTCGACGGTCGTCTTCAAGGGGCTTTACCACCTCGACGTCTCCCTCAACTGAAAACCTTCGTTCCACTCACCCCCGCAGTCGCGTCCAATACCGACCATTCTGGAAAAGTCGGAGTGTCCGCGACGTAGGACCCGGAAAGGACCGACAAACTACAGCCTATTGTTGATATAGTCGACCCGGAAAGGACCGACAAACTACAGCCTATTGTTGATATAGTCCTAGTCAATGACCGCTGTTGGGAAAATGGTCCGGAGCAGTACCCCAAAGGGTGACGAATTGTTACCGGTAGCAACTCCCGGTAGCCAACCTGTGGGACCCCTGTTCCTATTCGCTCGTCCTAGTTACCAATTGGAACACAGTCCCAAAAAGCACACAACACCAAAAACAAAAAATAAAAACAAATGCTCAAAACAATCACAAGCGGAATCGAGCCGTACCCTATCCCTATATCTATGTCTAGTATCGTCCCGAGAAAGCACATCTCACCAAAACACACCAGCTCAGTACGATCAGAACAGATTCAAACCGTATCCGATTCCCTATATCTATTTCTGTACTGTCCGCCACTTCACTGTATCACATCTGGGTACAGGTTCATCACACTCCACAACCACACCACACTATGTTCATCTTGATATTCCTAATGAAACACATACATTCGATCTTTCTCCAAATGCACACCACACAGCCACCTACAGTGGGTCTGTTCCTATTATATTACAAAGCACAGCAAATTCACCTATCGTTCAAACCAGTACACATGGACAAAGAGCACTCCTTTGTCAGCGGATCCCTTACCCTTGCCACTTCCGAAATTCAATCTGGTTTTTACGCAGCTAACCAAGTAGCTATGTATTCCCAGATTGCGTCTCTGCCTTTCGAAAAACTCTTCAGAATACGAAGGAAAAACTTCCGAGGTAAATTCATCATCCTCAGTTCTCATGACAGTGTCAGCACCCTGTCTGGTAGCTCGCTGCATACTGTCGCATTTCTCTCGATTCTGTGCAATCGACTTGCAATGACTGCGCTTTTTTGGCGTTTGACTCCCCATGAATGATATTCCTGTCCAATTCTGAAGTCCAACCGATCCTCTGTCCACACTGTCTTCTCGTTCTTCGTGAGCTGTACACAAGAGATATAAGGCATCACATCTTGTTGTCGCATTTCCACTCCAAGGACATCCTAGTACTTTTTCCCTTCGTCCGTGCGTTTCAGCGTCAAGTTCCTCGGGTAACATCCCTCGAAATCTGTACGAATTCGTTCACCGACCTTCCTGTCCTTCTTCCTTGATGCAATTATGATGCTCACGTCATCGATGAGCCGGATACCGAAGATCTTTGACTGCTGACTTCTTTGCTCCTGGAGGAACTTGAATTCTGCATGCGCGCACATGATGCACGCCAGTGGCGGGCTGGTGCTTTTCCCCATGGGGATCCCGACCACTTGCCTCAGGATCACACCTGTAGCATTGATGTATGTATGTCGAAGGTCAAATCTTACGAAACTCCTCAGATCCTCCAGATCGATCCTCCTCCAGTGATCGGCTCCGGTGGTCCGACCGAAAGAACTCCCTCGTCCTCTCGTGTTCACTCGTATTGTCGCCTTCCCCTTCTTCTGATAATGATGGATGATCCAGTCAACAGCTTCCAAGATGTCGGTGTGTGGCAGCTTGCTAAACATATCCTTGATGTCGTTACGACATCGTGGATATCTGCACATTGCGTCTCGGGAGACGTTGAATCTGCTTGTTGATCTTTTCGATTCTTGGCACCAAGTCTGTCACAGACTTCAAATTGAAATGCCACTTCGCTGGTAGTGCGTAGAGCAAGTGGTTCAAAGCCTTGGTTGCCGCTCTCGGAGTTCTCACCGTCCGCTCGCAATTAGATGGGCAGATTGGTCGATATCTGTCCAGGTCTTTGTGACAGTTGTACATAGGCTCGACCAAAAGTACCTTTCATGTCCATCTTCACGAACTGCTTCAGCCCACTTTCTGTCGCATCCTTCCGCATCTTCTCAACGATCTCCACTTCCCTCGTCTCCATAATCTTGTACCCACTATTGCATACAAAAGTAGTAAGCATTGCTTCGTGGTACAACCCTGGGCAGATCACGAGGGTCTCCCCCGGGTTTCTGTCCAGTGGAGTGCATACAAGCCCTGTCAGTGTACGCTTCAACGCTTGAACCGTTCCCATACTCAGTAATTGTCCGCTTGCTCCGTGGTATCTATCAAGCAATTACGAGCCTCCTCGACAGTCCTCACACACGCCTTGGTTCCATGATTAGGCCATTTGCAGAAAGATTCCTCAATCTCGCTACGTAGCAGTGTCACGCGATCTGGATGTGAAGGCCGCGAAATATTCTTCGCATTGCACAACATCGGTTGCACTCCCTCCATGTCACGCAATCTGAAACGCACATGATCTCCTATCCTTGGATAGGGTAAACCTGCACATGTGCAGGTACATACGTCTGCTCGCGCGTACATCCGCTGATTATGTAACAAGTCGCCGACCGTAGGATTACTTCTCCACACGATCCTCACCTTGCTACGTGCTCGCTTCATCATGCATGATGGTAGTTCTAGCTCCCCGATCTTGTCGTTGACCACTTTCCTAACCTCCACCAACTTCACACGGTCGTCAAACTTCAATTTGACATTGATGTTTGTGCCCATAATCCAACCCGTGACTTCCTTAATCACACGCCCAATGATTCTTCGTAGATATGATCTAGTCGCCTTCTTCTGGAAATCCTTCGCTGCTCGATAAAATTGGAACAACTCCTCCCTTTTTCGTTGCTTCAAATCCTCAATCCGTCTTGGATCCTTCAAGGTTTTAATCAGCTCAAGTTTGTGAATCTTACACCGACTGTGCCATCATCGTAGGTATCGTACTTCTACCCGTTCTCTGATCTCTAGGCTCTCCTTGCATTTCGCCAATGTCACTGTTCCACGGTGGCAAGTGACGGTCGTCCTCCCAAAGGCATTCTTGACTTTCTTCCACCCATCCAACCAGCAGTTCCCCCCGGTGGATGTCAATTTGAAAGAACGCACGCCTCGTTTTTCCAAATCTGAAAGCGTGCTGACAATATCCAACCTCTCCTCCATGAAACCTCCACAGATTATCCCCACCGGTTTGACCTGTCTCCGCTCCCGCTTCACTTCGTCCACCTCCCGTAGTTTATCCCGCTCGCGTTTACCCGTCCGCTTCTCATTACGGCGTTTCCTTCTCCTTCGCACCCCGTTCGTGTTAAGCGACGGGTTCCACTGATGTATGTACACTTGTTCATATGCTAGTAGGTAACAACCGCCAATAACACGTACGACTCCCAGCCAAAGTTCCGCCACCATCGGTACAGGTGGCTGTCCTTGCTCCTTCGGTCACATCGTGACGTATGTTCACTCCATCGTGCGTTAACGTGTTTGCTGGTTTGTCCCGCGTACATCGCCTTGCAAAGCGGTGAAGTTAGTGAATGCACCGCATGCGTGCACTCAATGAAGTTAATCCCCGCTTCAGCATACATCAGTACCCATGAATCAACGCATTTGGACAACCATCTGACCTCTCCCGCTATCGTCAATAGCATGACGGTTAATCGGTAGAGTTTCTCCACAAGTGCTTCGAATTTCTTTTCACGTCGAAATTCAATCAGCCAGTTACATAAGATCCACAAGTAGTTAGTTTCCTTGAAAGTTCATGCGTCAGCCTCTACATCATCAGGCTCGTCGACACTTCCCTGCTCCACGACATCCGTCTCGTTTGCGCGACTACAGACTTCGTCCTCTTCACTTCCATATGCCACGACTGCTCGCTTCTTTGCGATATTCATGGCGGCGATAGTATTCTTCTCGTAGTTAACGTCCTCCTTCCTACAAGTCTCTTTGAGTTCGTCGGCTCCCAGATCCGCCAACGCGCGGATGTTATCGCAAATAAACTTTGCTCTTCCTTCTGCGCCCATTAATGCGGCGATCTTCGTACGTGGCGTACCCCTACGCGGGGTAAATCTTGGCGGAGTCTTCTTCTCCTTGGTCTTTGTTGTCGTGCATTGCAACTTGGCCGCTAGTCGTACTGGTTTCACACCAGTCATCCTAGGCGTTCGTTTCGCCGGCTGCATCATCGGTGGGTTACCACCCACGGCCTTCTCCCCGTTTCTCTTCCGTTTCTCTTTAGTCGTCAGTATTCGAGTGCGCCTGTTCAATGGCTCCGTGTTGTTCGATTCGTCGCTGCTTGTAGAGGACGGTCTTGGTGACGGAGGCGATGCTACCTTCTTCTTCCCTTTGCGATCGATAGAAGCAGTTGCGAGTGCCTTTAGCATTTCATCCGTCAATTGTTCAGGGAAGCCACTGGCTAACTGCTCGCGCAATTCGCTCTTAACAAATGCTGCTTCCATCTTCATCTCCTTCCGCATCTGCATCTTCCATTCTTCTGCCTCTTTGATCTTCGCATTCCTCCGTGCCAATTTCTTCTCTTGTGCTTCACGTTCAGCGATCGCGCGCTGTTGTCTCTTGAGTTTCTCTTGTTTGCGCTTCTCCTTCTCAATCTTCTTCTGCTTCTCCTGCTCGATATGTCCGTGCATCGTTGCTAGTGACGCGCCCAGTTCCTCGATCTGTTTCTTAAGCTTCAAACGTTCGGGAGAAGTCTCGCGCGAACCTCCCTATTGTCCTCCTCGACCGTCTCCAGGTCGTGCTCCGCCTTCGTTAGTGAGTTTCCAGCATTGGTTTCGGTAGTGACCGACTTGACCACATTCGAAGCATGTGGGTGGCCCACGTCTTCTAACATCGCCGGCTGTTTCACCTCGCTCCCGTTGTGAATCGTGTCGCTCATCTTGATAGAACTCACGTCCCCCGCCACGATGTCCATCTCGCCAATCTTCCCGTCGCCCATCTCGGCGGTTATCTCTCCGCTCTCGATCGTTATCGCGGTAACTCATTGTCCGTTCCCACGCTACTTCGCTTCAAAAAAACGCACCTCGTACGATGTTGCACCCAAAACAACTTCGCTCCACTTGAGACTTTAGTTCAATAACGCTACACAGTAGGAAATGAAACATGCTCACTCAAGCTCGGACGAACGTATCCGAGCAGGTTCACATGCGCCGCCGAGGTAATTGCGGTCAGAAACATGGCGCTCGGACCGTAAATGCAGCCAAATACTTTTTTTGTTTTTTGTTTTTTTTTCCTCAGGAAAATCGAATTCCATTCCAAAATACATTTAGCACGAGGCCGGGGACCTCACAATTCAACCCTGAGTTATCCCGGCAGCAGCATCACAGCCGGTTTAGCTTGTGCATTCACCAAGCCTAGTCTATATCTACAGTAAAGACCCATATCTAAGCCTTCAACTGACAAAACTGTCCACAAAAAAAAAAAAAAAAAAAAAAAAGCCCTCAAACCCAGAAACTGGACCCAGGTGACCCTCTATCACTCCGGACCCCCTACTTCTACCTAATCTGCCCCAACCCTGGTGATGATTATTCCGCGGGTGATGAGTTAACCCGGCCGGCGTACCCATATGCCGGACACAACCGAGTTACAGTCTGACAATTAAAAAAAAAAAAAAAAAAAAAAAAAAAAAAGACCAAGGGGGCTACTGCCGCTACTACCCCCCCCTAGTCTAACTCGACTCAGCCAAACACGTTTTGGAAAGTGCTAGTGTGAGTATGCCCTTCCTCTAATTGCGTCTGTACTCGAACACGGGTCTGTATTTCCACACTTCATTGGTGTACACGCCCACTGAATAGCAACATAAGACTAAAAGCCCATACAAAGTGTGCTCCCGAAAAGATTAATCCATATGCAGATAATGGGGATCCGTAAGATTGAATTACTTGAGAGGCTTGTGCCCATAAAAAGTCTCTCAGCCATGGGCACCCTCACACTGTGGTCCCGAATGCGCATAATCCCCAAAATCCCCCAAAAAAACAAATGCGCATAATCCCCAAAATCCCCAAAAAGGTAGAGCCGGGTAAGGCTCCAGCCTCCCGGACACCAATGGATGTAATCATTTCTACCTTATTCTGTTATAAGGGACGCTGGACCCAGGGCCTGGTCCCACCAGCAAATAGGATTGGATTGAATTCCTGAATCCGGATGAGTTTTGAGGACAGATGCAGAAAAGCAGATTAATCATTACTCTCTGGATCTCTCCACAAACACGTCCAGATTCAGGAATTAAATCCAATCTTTTTTGCTAATGGGACCAGGCCCCCGGTTTCCAGCAGGTGAAGCTCCCCACCAATAGACTGGAGTCTTTCCACCCAAAAAAAAAAAAGAGAAAACTAGGGCTAGGTCAGGGTTTGAGTTTGTACCACCTTCAAGATGGATTGTTCTGTAAAGAGGTATTGTGGGACGCTGGACCCGGTTTCCAGCAGGTATTGCTCCACACCAATAGATGGAGCGGCCCGCCTGGCAAAGCCTCAATCCCGGTGGTTCTCTTACCACCACCAGGATAGAGGCCTTGTCTGGGCCTTAAAAAAAAAAAAAAAAAAAAAAAAGGGTTTGAGTTTGTAATTGCACCTGTTGAGGCAAAAGGGCCCGTAATGCTGAATGTATATGACCTACGTTTCGGGTCTGGTGGGGTCGCGTGGGGGTCTGTTGTATTCGCGGGATTGCCTGAAGTGCAATTACCAACTGTTTTGGTGACTGCGCCAAAGTTAACCCCCGCAAAAAAAAAAGAAAGGTAGTGTAGAGGGGCAGAGGGGGGGACACACCCCTGGGGCCAAGTCCCACTAGCAGAGTTGAGCTACCTCAACGCCTGAATCTGGACATGTTTGTGGAGACGTGCAGTTCAGGAAACTCAACACCATTTCTGCACATGTCCACAAAAACGTCCAGATTCAGGCGTTGAGGTAGCTCAACGCTGCTAGTGGGACTTAGCCCCGGGTTTGCATTTTCGCAAACTACTCATTTGTGAACCCTTTTGTGAGAGTCCCTTTTGTGAGACGGCTGAGGGAGGCGGGGTAAGGAATTGGCGGTGACCTCGAGGCCTAGGTCCCATTAGCAAAGACGATTAGATTTAGCTCCTGAATCTGGACGTCTTTTACGCAGAGATGCAGAGAAGTTGTTCAATCAAAAATTTCTGCACTACCTTTTCCAGGAACACGTCTAGATTCGGGCGTTCAATCCAATCCATGTTGCAAGTGGGACCTCGCCCCGGGAGGTTACCTGCGGCAAATTCCTTCTTCGTTTTTTAATCAACTTTTTTTTTTTTTTTTTTTTTTTTTTTTTTTTTTTGAAAACGGGCCCAGTGCCCAAGGCTGATATTACCAACGAAGGATATTTGAGGCCGGGGTCCTCACAGTCTACCCGGAGTACCCGAACCAAAAATGCTGAGAACCGGGCTCAGCGTCCCTCATGTATTGATGAAGATGATCATGATGGAAATGGTAGTGATTATGGATTCACAAAAGACTATGTTATGTGGGCTATTTTAGACTCGTAGACCTAAGGTGACTCCTAGCCATCCTTGCACCGGGACATACTTACTCAGAGACGAATACCAACCAAACCAACGTCACCCATAGTTGATCTCTTCTCGCCATTAAGCAGCCCTCCCCAGTCCACCACCGAATTGCCTTCCTCCCTCGGCAAAACCCATATCTCTCTACAAGACCTCACACTCCTGCAGATTTGCAGGTTACAGGGCGACGCCCCAGCTCCGATCAGCGTCGTTCTGGCGTCGGCGAAAAAAGGGACACAGAACAGAACAACTCTGCGGATATCAGTCCGGATGTGACCCTCTCTGAACTCCTATACCCCGGTTGTAAGGAAAGACTAAGTGCTACCAAAGATCCAGAACCAGAAAACTTCAGTATACCGTATTTAAAATGAATCATAGGAATCAACCGCCGAAGGCCTAAAGAATGCTCCAAAATCTCGAACTCCCTAAACAATTCTGCCAAAGCTCCTCAAGATTGTCTCACTCTCTGCCAAGCTCTTCCAGGCCTCACACCCCAGTTCCTGCTAGGTCACAGGGCGACACAACTCACCCCAGCTCCGGCCAGCGTCATCCCGACAGCAAACCTTGGTTGTCCCATCAGATGCCCCCCCAAAGCATCCCCAGACCCTCTACCAGGCCTCACGCTCCTGCATCTACAGGTCACAGGGCTGCGCCCCAGCACCGACCAGCGTCGTTCTGGCATCGAACAACCACCGATTTCTGAGTATGACAACGCCCAAGGTTCCCAGGAAGAATTTGATAGGAGTCACAGAATCCAAACATCCATAGGTCCCCCCAACAACTGTATACTTCCAAAATTCACCTCTTAAACCAAGATAAAATACAGGAAGGGGTTCGAAACTAAACTGCCAGCAATCCACCGAGTCCCCCCCTCAACTGAAGGACTGTCGATTTCGGTTTTCAGTCCTCGTACCAGAACTCACATGGTCTCAAACTCCCCTCTGCTAGGGTGACAGGGAACCACAACCCTCCCCAGTACCGACCATCCTAGTTCTGACGGATGGGAAGTGCCTTCCACCCTCGACAATTCCCTAGTCGACAAAACCCCTAAGGTTACAGGGTGAAAACCCCAGCGTCGACTACGTTGGACGATCTGGTTATGCCTTCCACCCTCGACATAACTCCATGGGCCTCGAGCTCCCCCAGGGTCACAGAGCCAAACTCCAGCACCGACCCATGTCATCCCAGGCTGAGCCTCGTCCTCCTGACCTACTCACCTTAACCAGCATCCCCCTGTTTGAAAGTCCCCTTTCCTCCTACCATCCTCCCCATTTGATTCCCCCTCCTTCCTTTTGTCTTAAAAAAGGCCAATCCCTAATCTGAATCATAGAACATAAAACTCTCTGAAAGAGGGAGCTGGTTACCCCCACCTCCCATGCCTGTCCATCCTTACTCCGGCAAGACTTACTACAGCGAAGCCACCATCTCCCCTGCTGCTGTGCCCTATTTCCACTCTGCAGTTAGCCCCCTCCCGCAGAGCGCGTTCTTTCCCCCACCAGACCGTCATCGCCCCCGCAACCAGTACCCTCCTCAAGGGAAAGCCGAGCTTGAATAAGATGAGGATTTAAGGAATCTCAAAAAATTACGTAGGAATTCCAACGGTACTTTTCGTGAGACTTAGTAGTGCCAGGAAATTGCTGGAATAAAATTCCGGTATTTTGCCATCAGAAATCACATATCAGAAACAGAATTTTAAGATTGTTTTAGGATTTTAGAGATCTGTCGATCCCCAGCTGTGAGACTTTAACTTCTGAGATGTCCGAAACCGGACTCACGATTAAAAAGATCAAGAATATTTGTAGGATATTCCGTCAGAGATTTCTTCAAACAGGTAATATTTGAGTATTATTGAGATGTCCGAACCGGACTCATGATTAAAAAGATCAGAATATTTGTAGGATATTCCGTAAGAGATTTCTTCAAACAGGCAATATTTGAGTATTATTGAGTATTATTTGAAAATAAGGTTGGGATGAATTTCGAGAAATTTCAAGAAAACCAATGTAAAAAACCGTTGAAAACGACTGTTTAGAAGTAAACTTTTTAGAACGAGAAACAGGAATTACGATTTCCCGCTTTGGAATCCAATTCAAGGAAATCGAAGGCAGGTCAAAAAAAAAAACAATAGAAAGTAATCAAAAGAAACAGATCAGGACTCAAATCATGGTATCTCAGATTATCCTTATTTATAAAATGGATCGGATCTTAGAAAGCTTGTCGGCGGTGTATCTAGACCGCGCGTAGGTCATACTTCAAACCTTCAACCCCTATCCCTTCTTCCTCAACCACCACTCAATATCACCTCCCTTCAGACCCTACCCCTGCACCTTAAGTTTAAGGAAGGAAGGATTCCCTTCCTCCCACTGCCATCTTCTTAGCACTTCGTAGCGCAAGGCAAACACTAGCACCAAAGGCATGAGCGGCCATCCTTAATCCCAAAGAATCAAAAACAGTATGGCTCCCCCTCGCCAAACCCGTTGACAAGTAGCCTCAGGGGGTCCAAGCCACCGTAAACTTACCGTACACT